TGTGTGTGTGTGTGTGTATGTGTGTGTGTGTGTGTGTGTGTTGCACCATGTGCTACCAGCAGGGCGTGGGCGTAACTACAGACACACAAGCAAGGCTTGCTGGCTGGCGTGTCAAGTGAGTTGGCCGTGCCTGAGCTGTCTCACCTCCGCTATCTGCGCGAATACCAAGTTCCTCATATGTGTACACCCGAAGGCCATCAATCATCTTTCGCTCTGTCACATTCAATCACATCAAAGGCAAACACGTCATGAGCATCAACATGCATCACTTCGTGCTTCACCTTGTGTGTCGGTGTATCTGTGTGTGTGTGTCTGTGTATCTGTGTGTGTCTGTGTATGTGTCTATGCGTGTCTGTGTGTATACGTGTGTGCCGGTCTGTATCCGTGTTTTGTCTGCCTCTGACACATGCACTCAACCACAGCTTCCCAAACAAAGGACAGGCATGCCGACATCTACAGCACGCACGCCCAAACCCCGATCACACACACGCGCGCGCACACACGCACACACATACACAAGCGTACTCTTTTTGCGCAGCCCTTGGCTGTCGCTAAAGTCGTCCTCATCGTTGGCCCTGAGTTTGTTTGTCCATGAGGGCACCTTTCCATTGCCCTTGCCTTTGCTCCCGTCTTGCGAACCTGCATCCTTGGCGTCTTGTGTCTTCTTGCTTGCGGCGGCACTTGCAAAGATGTCGTCAATCTCACTCGCTCCCTTCTTCGTCTTCTTCTTCTTCCGCTTTGCTGTCTCGTTGTTCGCTGCTGCTTGCCCGTTCTCCTGCTTCTTCGTGACGGTCTTCTTCCCACCAGCTTCTGGCTGACCTTTGCCCTTCTTGGTCTGCTTCGTCTTCATCTCCTGCTGGTCCTGCTTCTGTTGTTTCTGCTGTTGCTGCTTGTGCTTCTTCTTTCCGTCCTTCTTGCTCTTGTGTTCCTTCGCCATCACCCCCTTCACCACACCGTCTCCTCCCTTCCTGCTCCTCTGCTCCTTGCCCTCCCCTTCTTCCTCCTTCTTCCCTCCTCCCCTTCCCATCATCTTCTTCTTCTTCGTTGTCGCAACACGTGGTGCAGCAACCCCGTCGTTCATATCCGGTGGTGGTGGTCCTTACGCACTACATTTAATGCTGTCGTGTCGCACATTCAACGCAGCCACCAACCAATTCATCGGTCAAACAAGCACTCGCACCAACCCACCTCCACTTCACCTTCACTCCACCTTCACACTCGCACTAGGTGGGCGCGTTGCGGCCATGTTTGGACGTGGGTTCCTGGACGACGATGACACCCAGGCCACCTTTGGCCTTGGGTTCACCTCTCGCTTCGGTGGCCTCTCCGGCTACGACATGGAGGACGACGTTGTGGATGCAAACATGGTCAGCGCATATGTGTGCTTGTGTCAGCGAATGTGTTTGTGTTTGTGTTTGTGTGAATGTGTTTGCGCTTGCATCGTGCACATATGTTTGTGCCTGCATCGTGCGCCTGTGAGTGTGATGGCCTTTGTATCGCGCACGTTTTTTTTTGTGGCGTGCGTCTGCGCTCGTGCAGCTGTGGTCATGTGCCTTCGCTTCTGTCCGTCTGCTTATCTGCCTCCCTTCATGGCATTACCCATTGATGTAACTTGACTCACCCTGCTTCGACTCACCCTGCTTTGACTTCTCCTTCCGCACGGTCCACCCCCGCTTTCCTCCATTGTGGGAATTGCAACAGAGCGCGTATTCTGCCTACGGTGAATCGGACGTCATCATTGAGGAGCCCATCTTCTCCAAGAAACGCCTCGGCTTCAAGTCAGTGGCTATCCAAGCGCTGTCTACTGACCATGATGATCATGTCAACAAAACAGCATGCGCGCTTGCTTCCGTACATCTGTCGCCCCTGCCTGTTTGTGTTTCTTACAATTACACTCTTCTTCCCCTTGATACACCTCAGGTTGCCGCCTTCAACAAGCATCCAGCAGGTGCATTTCCGTGTCCCCCGTTTGGCATGTTTGCATGTGGTTTTGCGTGTGTTTGCCTGAGTACTTGTGTCTTGGTGTGGGTGCACAGTTAGGAGCACACTTCGTCCGTCGCAGCAGCTCAAGCCAAATGGCGTACTGCTTGTTCATCAGGTCATCTGTGCTGGCGGCTCTGCATTTGTCGTCCTTTCCAACTCCACCATCGTCCGTCGAGCACTCAGCGGTGCAGAAGCAGATGGTGCGTATCTGTCACACAAATCGATTGCACGTTGCACTGTGTTTGTCCGCGTGTCTGTGTGTGTCTGTGTGTGTCTGTGTGTGTCTGTGTCTGTGTGTGTGTGTGTGTGTGTGTCTCTCTGTGTCTGCACGTGACACTGAGGTTCAGCTTATATCTGCCCATACCGTAACCGCTGCCGGGTGTGAATGGTGTGTTTGTGCGAGTGCAGAGGAAATCCACCCCATTCCGCGCAAGCGGGAGGGCCAGTGTACGGTGGAGCGCGTCTTCATCGATCCAACAGCAACACACATGATCACCTGGTTGGTGTGTGCACGTTGGCGTGTGTGTGTGTGTGTGTGTCTGTGCCTGTGTCTGTGTGTGTGTCTGTGTCCGTGTGTGTGCGAGCAGTCGTGCCAATGTTTTTTGCTCACACCCCTTGTATGCAATGCACATGTGCGTGTGTGCATTTGGTTATGTTGTTTGCAGTACTGTGTGCTCCGATGGGCACGAGTGCTTCTACATTCACCTCGCCTCGCCAAAGCTGGCACCATACACGCTTCACGCTGTCAAGGTTCGGTGCACAGCTACTCACACTTGTGTCTCTGTTTCTCTGCCAAAACCTTCACCTTCGCCTTTACTTGTGCCCCTTCCCTGAATGTCATCACCATCATCATCATCATCATCATCATCATGACTACAGCGCCGCAAGATCACGGCTGTTGCCTGGAATCCGCTCGCACAGCGCGGCGACCCTGCCACACAGGTGACACACGCGCAGACACATGCGCATGCACGTACGCATGCATACATGCATACATGTACATGTATACTTGTACACAGGCACACACGCACAGGCACATGCATGCTCGTGTCTGTGTGTGTTCTTGACGGCTTGGCTGAACATGAACCAGAGATGGCGTTGTGCTCGTTGTGATGCACAGGCTCTCTTTGTTTCCTTCGACACACACGCACACCCATGCACACACACACACACATTCATGCGCGCACGCCAGCCAATTCTGCTTGGGGATGCGCAAGGGAGCGTGTTTGAGATGACCGTCAACCACAACGACCACCACGCGCAGCAGGTACGCTGCACAGCGCAGCAGCAGTCGACACTAACATGCTGTCATGCTCGTGTGTACAGGGATGGCAGCCTTGTGTGTGTGTGTGTGTGTGTGTGTGTGTGTGTGTGTGTGTGTGTGTGTTTCTTGTGTGCCGCTGCGTGACTGGGTGGCTACGTGGGTGTTCATCATTGTGGGTGCTGGTGCTCGTAATGCGCTCGTGTCCCTCACATGCATTTTGCCCATGCATTCACGTTCCCCTTGACATATTGGGTTGTACACACCACCTCGTGCATCCCACAACCACACCCACGCCATACACTCTTCATCTCATCACCATACCACCGCCACCACCAACACCACCAACACCCCTTCATACTCCCTCTCCCTCCACTCTCCACTCTCCACTCTGCCAGATCTTCAGTGTGTCGGATGCGCCAGGCGGGATCATCGGTATCCATCTCGATGTGCAGCGCAGCTCGAAGCTCGGCAGCCGCTTCTACATCATCCTCGCATGCGCACAGTACGCCATCCTCCCCCGCCTGTGTGTGTGTGTGTGTGTGCGCGTGTGCACGTGTGTGTGTGTGTGTGTGTGAATGTGTGTGAATGTGCAATGCGCGTCATGCCATGAGCCCGCCTCCTTCACAACTCACGTCAACACCATCACCATCGCCATCACCATCAGCCGGTTCCTGCAGTACATGGGACCGCCGGGTCCAGAGGGGCAGCGCTTCGAGAACATCCTCAAACGCCACGAGCTCTCCAGTCAGTTCCTACGCCATCGCCACCACACACCCCATTTGTTTGCTTCGTCAACCTTATCTGCACCTTTCTCTCTGGCGCTATGCGGCTTGCCTCTATTCACACGACGCCTGACATCACCACACCACGTCACCATCACACCACACCACACCATCACATCACACCACACCATCACGCCATCACACCACGACATCACATCACGCCATCACATCACGCCACCACACCACACCACCACATCACACCATCACGCCACCATCACATCACGCCATAGGCGGGGGCCAGGAGGCGCCGGTGCTGCCGCGGTCGCAGCTGTCCATCTACCAGCGGTTTCCGTCCACCGCAGAGGCCATGGCTTGGATGACCCCGCTTGGTCCGTGCACACGCGCACGCATACACACGCGAGTGAAGAGGCGGTGCTACGCTGTGTTGTGGTTTCATCCGCTTTCTACCTGTCATCATCATCAGCATCGTCGTCGTCGGCTTAGCCCTGTACCTCCACACCTCTCACACCTCCCCTCCACACCTCTCACCTCTCACACCTCTCACATCTCACACCTCCATCACCCATCACCACCACCCTTGCCATTGATTGTCATTGTCATTGTCACGACAGGGGCATACAGCGGACACTTTGACTTTGCAAATGCGCTGCGAGACGAGAGCACAGCCATCCCCTCCTTCAACGTCATCCCGTACAACCCGGCCACAGACCGCGTCGGAGGTGCGCCTGCTGTTGGAGGGAGAGGGGTGTGCTGTTGGGAGGCGGGTGGGAAGTGGCAGAGATGCATGGCGCATGTTGAAATGCACACGCTCTCACGCGTAGCTCATGTCTGTGTGTGTCTATGTTGATCTTGACGCCATTGTGTGCGTGCGCTTGCTCATGCCCTGACCATTACGACTACCACTACCGCACCCCCCCCACCCCGTTCTTTCACATGGACGAAAGACGAGGCCGACGTGCCGGAATCGCTCGTGTTGACGGAGTTCCATCTCCTCCTTCTCTATCCCCACCAGATCCGCGCCATCTGCACCGTCAACAACAAGCAGGTCTGCCCCTCACGGCTGCTGCTCTGTGTCTGTGTCTGTCTGTCTGTTTGTCTGTTGTGTGTCTGTCTGTGTGCCTGTGTGTCGTGTGTTTTTCTTGTCCAGGTACACTTCTCCTCTCTGATCTGTACGCATGTATCTGATCTGCACCTGGGTGCTTCCACTCCGCAACAGCCCACCTCACCTCACCTCACCTCACCCCCCTTCCTCCATCTTGGGTGTGCAGGTGATGGACGAGCGGATGCCAACCGCTGCCGGCCGCTTCCAGGGCATTGTCCGCGACCCGACATCCGAGGACGTGCTGTGCTACTCCGAGAAGGTTGTCCGTCATCACCATCAGCGCCATCACCCTCACCGTCGTCACAAGTGACACCACCACCGTAGCCATCACACCTCACACTACACGACCCTCCCTCATCCTCATCCTCACACTGTCTGCTCTCCACCTTGCCCTTCTTCTCTGGTCCCGAAATCACCACCGCCGCCGCCAGACCATCTACCGCATCGACACGGCGAACGAGACGCGGGACCTGTGGCGACTCATGATGGACAAGGGCAACTTCGATGCCGCCCTGGACTACTGCACCTCAGACGATGAACGCAACGAGGTTGCTATCATTGGCCCACACGCATGCTCGCTCGTGTGCCTGTCTGTGTGTGTGTGTCTGTGTCTGTGTCTGTGTGCCTGTCTGTGTGTACGTGTGTGTGTCTGTATGTATCTGTGTGTGCCTGTGCGTCTGTGTGTGTGTGTGTGTCTGTCTTCCTCGGCACAAGTGACGCCTTCACGACGTGCGCCCCCACCGCTCTTCACCTCGTCTCACCTTCACCGCCGCTGCTATGTACAACCCCTTGCCCCTTCCACACACACACACACACACACTCTCTCTCTCTCTCTCTCTCTCTCTCTCTCTCTCTCTCTCTCTCTCTCTCTCTCTCTCTCTCTCTCTCTCTCTCACACACACACACACACTCTCTCTCTCTCTCTCAACCAGGTGCATGCCGCGCAAGCGGCGTATCTGTTTGACAACCAAGAGTTTGGCCGCGCGGCCCGTGCGTATTCGAAGACAGACGTCGCCTTTGAGACAATCGCCCTCAAGTTCCTTGGTGCGCACACACCGGAGCAGACGGTGGTGGTGATGGTGGTGGCGGTGATCGTGACCCTGGTTGCTGTGGAGTGGTGCTTGTCGCAGGCACTCGTTGACAGCAGCTGTGCTGACAGTACATCACCCACAACACAATCTACCACAATTCACCCCCATTACACCACGACACGACACGACACGACATGTGAGCAGATAAGCAAGAGGAGGGCCCTCTGCGCACGTTTCTGGAGGAGAAGCTTCATCGCCTTTCGCGTGGAGACATTACGCAACGCGCCCTCCTCACCACATGGCTCGTCGAACTCTTTCTCAACGCTCTCGACAAGGCAGAGGTAACACTTTGGCTGTTTTGCAGTCGTAGTAGTCGTGGTGGGTCTGTGTGTGTGTGTGTGTGATGCGTGCGTGTGTGTGCGTGATGTATGTGATGCGTGTGTGATGCGTGTGTGAGTGTGTGTTCGTGTGCTCATCATGGAACTGTTGTTGCTCACCTCCTGCCTCCTCGTCCGCTGCCACCGCCTCCATCACGGCCATGATGAAGACTGCGGAGAATTCTGCAACATATGAGCGTACCATGGAGGAGTTCAAGTCGTTTCTGGAAGCCGATGCCAGCCGACGTGTGCTGCACCGCGAAACGGTCGGTTGCTCGACCCGACATACGTGCATGCACCTGAACACGAACACGCACTCACTCACTTACTCACTGACTCAACTCACTCGCTCACTCGCTCCCGAACGAACGGATGAACGAACACCTACAGGTGTTTGATCTGATTTCGTCGCACGGGAACGTGGATGTGTTGCTGTTCTTTGCGCAGCTGCACAGCCAGCACGACGTTGTTGTTCAGCACTACATCCAAATGGGCCAGGCCGACAAGGCACTCGATGTCCTCAAACAAGTGGTGAGGCGCCCGGGGAGTCTGTCTGTCTGTCTGTCTGTCTGTCTGTCTGCATCTGTGTGTGTGTGCGTGCTGTTGTGTGTGTGTGTGTGTGTGCGTGTGTGTGTGTGTGCGTGTGTGTGTGTGTGTGTGTGTGTGTGTGCCTGTCTGTCTGTGGAGGGGGTGGAATGGGGCTGAGCTGTCTCCCTTGACCTGCTCACACTGCTATGTGCGACCGCCATCATTGCCACCACCACCACCGTCAGGGCAATGAGAAACCGCAGCTGATCTATCAGTTTGCCGCGGAATTGATTCAGGCGAAACCACACGAGCTCATCAGCCTTTGCAGGTCCCACCACCATGCAACACGCTGCTTGCTTTCGTTGCGTGCGTGTGTGTGTGTGTGCGCGCGCGTGTGTGTGTGTGTGTGTATCTGTGTGTCTGTGTATCTGTGTGTTTGTGTATCTGTGTGTTTGTGTATCTGTGTCTGTGCCTGTCTGTCTGTGTCTGTGTCTGTGCACGGTCGCCAAGATCGCTGCATCACACACACACACACACACACACACACACACACACACACACACACACACACACAAAACACCCTGTGCGCTTGTACTCGTCCGTGCTTCTCTCTCATCTCTCTTTCCCTCACTCCTTGCCCGTGTGTGTGTGTGTGTGTGTGTGTGTGTGTGTGTGAGAGCAGAAGGAGGCGTGCATTGCAATCTACAGCCACATGCATCTGTACGAGGAGGCGGTGGAGATGGCTCTGACTGTGGACCTTGACATGGCCGTTGAACAAGTCAGGCGCGCAAAGGACGACATCGACTTTATTGACGTCAGCTAATACGCGCACGCGCACGCACGCGGTTTCACATACATGTTTGACAACACGTTGGGTGTGAGCTTCTGAGGTTATCGTCGTGTTGTCGTCTGTGCAATGGAGTCAATGCACTCTGTTTTGTTCACGCCTCCCAACCACGCACACAAACATACATACACACACGCGCACACAAACACACATGCGTACACGCACACACACACACGTGCCTCACACTTTGGCTGTGCTTCGCGTGAGCAGCAAGCGCGGGAGAAGCAGTTGTGGCTGCGCATTGCAAATCACGTCATCAAAGTCAAGAATGACATCCCAATGGCCATGGATCTTCTCAAGGTTTGGGCAAATGCAAATTGTGGTGTTGCTTTGCTATTCCTTTGCTGGTTCGCTGCTGGTTCGCTGCTGTTCCTTTGTGTTTGTTGGTACGTTGGTTCGTTGGTTCCTTGGTTCCTTCATTCTGTCGCCCTGCCTTGTGTGCGTCTGTGTCATCTCGGCGTTGTTTGGTCCTGACATGTGTACACCACCACCAAACCCACTTCTCGGTTGCTCCAACAGCAAAGCGTGTTGAAGATTGAAGACATTCTTCCACTCTTTGACGACTTTAAGATCATCGACCCGTTCCAGGTAATTAATGCCTCCCGTTAACGCTTGTCGCCATCGTTGCACCCGCATACACACGCACACGCACACGCACACATACACACGCACAACTGTTCTTATTCCACGTCGTGCGCATGCATACGCGTTCTCACACCCACACACAACCGTCCCATCGGACTCTCACACAATCACCCTCATTCAACCTCCCCCATCACACCCTCATTCAACCACCAACACCATGACACCGTGACACGTCGTGGTGCGCGACCGCCTGCCAGCGCAACATCCAACGGAGCCTTGAGAGCTACAACAAAGAGATACAGCAGCTGCGTGAGAGTATGGAGCAGAGCACCACCAGTGCACGGGCGATCCGGGCCGACATCCTCCAGCTCAACAAGAGGTGCGTTGGGTGCTTGCAACATGCTGTGGCTGTGTGTGTATGTGTGTGTGTGAGTGTGCCTGTGTCTGTGTCTGTGTGTGTGTGGGTGGGTGTCTGTGTCTGTGTGTGTATGTGTGTATGTCTATGTGTGTGTATGTCTGTCTGTCTGTGTGTGTGCGTGTGTGTGCGTGTGTCTTGGCTCTGTGGTGCTCTGCGTCTTCTCCCTCTCGTCCCTGATTGTCTGCCATTGGATATGAGTTCGTGCTCCTGCTTGTGGCCTGCACTGGCTCACCCACGCTCTCATGTCATTCGTATCCCATCCCTCACACTCCATTTCACCAACGACAACAACAACAATTGCTGTGCAGGGTGGAGCGGGTGCACGGCGACATGATGTGCGACGTGTGCGAATACCCGCTGCTCACGCGCGCATTCTACCTCTTCCCCTGCCACCACGCCTTCCACAAGGATTGCCTCATGCGTGAGGTGGTCAAGTACCTGCCGCCATCGCAGTGTCGCCGCGTCAACACCATCAGGCAGGACCTGCGCGACCTCCCGCCAACCGCCGCCGGCGCCCGGCGCGCCCTCGCCCTCAATGTGCGCGCAGTGGCCGTGCTTGCGTGTGTGTGCGTGTGTGCGTGTGTGCGCGTGTGTGTGTGTCTGTGTGTGCGTGTGCCTGTGTGTGTGTCTGTGTGTGTGTCTGTGTGTGCGTGTGCCTGTGTGGGTTTCTGTGTGTGCGTGTGCCTGTGTGTGTGTGTGTGTGTGTGTGTGTGTGTCTGTGTGTGTGTCGCTCCACTGCTTAGGTCGCCACCTCACGCGCCCGTTCTGTTCCCATCGCCGCTCCAGGCAAAGTTGGATGAGATTGCGGGGCAGGACTGCATCGTGTGCGGCGAAATTGCCATTGAGATGATCGAGAAGCCATTCATCCCCAAGGTACGTCGGCACTGGTGGTTGTGGCTCACTCACTCACCCAACACACACACACACACACCCAACACACATACGCACTCTCACACGTCACATCACATCACATCACATCATGCCTCACACTTTTGGCCTGCAGGACCAGCTTGAGGCGTACATTGAGTCGTGGTCCACCGGGGGTGTGGATCTTGGGCCCTCTGCCGACGATGAGGAGTTTGGAATCGACAGAGAGGCGCCAATCATGGACTCATTCACGTG